CATGACAGTATTTCAGAATGATTTTTTTTTTTTTTTAATTAGACTAAGTCTTGCTCTGTTGCCCAGGCAAGTGCGGTGGTATGATCTCAGCTCACTGCAACCTCCATCTCCCGGTTTCAAGCTATTCTGCTGCCTCAGACTCCCAAGTAGCTGGGACTCCAGGTGCATACCACCACGCCCAGCTATTTTTTTGTATTTTTAGTAGAGATGGGGTTTCACCATGTTGGCCAGGCTGGTCTTGAACTCTTGACCTCAAGTGATCCACCCACCTCAGCCTCTGGAAGTGCTGGGATTACAGGCGTGAGCGAGCCACTGCACCGGCCCAAGATGAATTTTAAAAACTTTAAAAATGTTCATATAGAAATGTTATTTTTGCTTTATTATTTTATGACACGAGGTATGTAAACTCAATTTTTACTGAGGAGAAAAAAGAGTTTAAAAATGTATATACAATATATTATCCACATGTGCATCTTTACTAATTACAAAGAGTTTTATTATAACATTGTTATGTGTAGGAAGTCATTTCCATTGTTACAGTGTATGGCATGCACTTATCTTTAGCAAATACCCTAGTATTTTATATCTTGTATAGATATATGCTTTGGTGTGATTACGAGATGGTTTCTTGATTGATACTGTTAGAAAATGGACTTGATGGGGGTTAGCGGGTGAGGGGAGAGAGAGCATTAGAACAAAATAGCTAATATATATGGGTCTTAAAACCTAGATAACGGGTTAATAGGTGCAACAAATGACCATAGCACTCATCTACTTTCAAACCTACATGCTCTGTACTTGTACCCTGGAACTTAAAAAAAAAAAAAGAAAAAGAAAAGTTAAAAGGAGTTCTTTAGAGTAAAGGAAAATGATATAGGCCAGAAACTTGGCTCTACATAAAGAAATAAAGAGCACTGACGGAAAAAAAAAAATGGATTTGAGGTACAAGTAGCCAGCCGTAGTTCCTGTCCGTGATTCTCTAGAGGGCTATTTTTTAAGGCTCTTGGGCCCAAAAATTGAGTCAGCCGGACCTCTCCTGTATTCAGAAATGCTTTTCTACCTGATGGGTTAATCGGTGTACATGGCACCTGGTTCCTGCAAATGAAATCTTCCAGTTGCAAAGAGATTTATGTGATTGATCTTTCCCGGAATTAAGTGTTATTGGGGATGAGTGCTAATGACTCTTCCCAGTATCCTCTCCGTTCTTCTGCCTTACTGCCCCTCCCCAAACAATAATAAAAATGAGAGAGAGAGAGAGAAAACAATGACAATCTGGATTTATAATGTCAAAGTAAGTTCAGAGCAAAATGCCTTCTTAGGTTTTCATTTTAATGCCTTTACTATGTGTGAAATTGCCTCTTTCTCTCTTATTACATTTGAGATGGCCAGAATTACCGATCAGCCTATCAGCCAGCCTGTTCTTTATTCAAGGTGCTGACCTAGCTGAGGAGGAAGAGTGACCAGTATACAGGGTTTCTTCTAACATTAGAAGAAATATGTGTGTGTCTGTATGTGTGTGTGTGTATACATTCCTTAGAATAAAACTGATACAAAGAAGGCAGATTACTTTTGAAGACTACTAGAATATACTGCTTTATGCATTAATTCCATCTGGGATATGTGACTATACCCAGGCCATTACTTAAATGTTGTCTGAGCTTGATGACTATGGAAAATAATCTCTATGTTCATGTCTATATTTTTAAGTGTATTTTCATTAAGTTAGTACTTGATAAAAGATATTTTCTAGGATTAGCCTGCTTGACCTTTGTGAGTCACCAGATACAAAATTGAATGTGTCAGGGCAACTATTCTGAAATCAATTGGACTATGCATATATTTTGTATACCCTTTATCTTCCCTGTGGAGAACAAAAGTTCTTATTGTTGGAGCTAGGTTCTCACATACGGTAGAACATATATTCGAGTATAAAGTGACCCTAAAAATAATGTGCCACTCGCAATGTTATCAGTGAAGAAATAAAAGAGAGGTAAAGCAATATACAAGGGTCAGTCACCTCACACTTAGGGCAATCTGGGCACATGGTAGCCCAGTGCTGAGAACTGTGCCTGTGGTTCCAGTCCATGCCATGCATTTGACCTTTGATGTAGCTGCATTGCATACTCTGCTCCAGTGTTCGAAAAGCAGACTAAGTCAACAGGACAGAAGAAGCCTTTCAGTCCTTCCTCTCATTCCTGTCATTCCCTTGCAGGCCAACTTGCCCCTGCTGCAGCGTGAGCTCCTCCACTGCGCAAGGCTGGCCAAACAGAACCCTGCCCAGTACCTCGCCCAGCATGAACAGCTGCTTCTGGATGCCAGCACCACCTCACCTGTTGACTCCTCAGAGCTGCTTCTCGATGTGAACGAAAACGGGAAGAGGCGAACTCCAGACAGGTGAGAGGGAGGAGGAGCCTGGATGAACCATGGCCTTTTTCTCAACGTTTAACACGTTTATTGTGACAATTAAACTGCCGGCCTGTGTCTCTTGCACAATAGCAATAAGCCATTGTGGCCATCTTGAGAATCTGTCTCTGAATCTGTCTCTGGCCTGGGATTTTACAGAGTTTTGAATCTCTGGCTTGTGACAGTTTGACTTTTGTATAGATTAATCTTTTCTGCTTGTAATATTAAAGCTAAATGGTGAAGATGAACGATTTTTTAGATTTTCCAAGTACAACTGATGGCTCTTAGATGCACATCAGTATTTAAATTCTCATTTATTATGTAATTTAACCCAACCACGTATTTTACTTCAATATTCTGAAATTGGCTGTTCCTAGTTTCCTTAAAATGTGATGGTTTTGAAGCTTGTCTGTATGTATTTCTTAACACAGTACAGTAGCTATTCATTTTGGTTTGTATATGAACTAAGAGAAAACTTCTGGGACACTAGATGAACTAAGTGAAGATAAGAGTTATACAGTAGAGACCATAGATGATATTTTTGCTGAAAATTTTACTTGTTAGATACTGTTTTATCAGATACTGTGCTCTCATAACTGAGAATGCAAAGAAATGTAACATAAAACTACTTCTCCATTAAACCCTACAAAGTAATTGTTGAATAAAGCATACACATGAAATTTCCCATTTACCGTAGTAAAATAATTTTTGTGAATACCTCATCCTCATCTGTATCTTCTGGTATAGGAATGCCCAGTCTTACTAGCATCATTTTGCATAGTATTTTTGAAATATGGAGAATTTTATAATGAAGCTATATTCAAAAACTTATTTAGCATATACTTTGCTTTCTTTCTCTGCTTATCTATTCTCTTTTGCTGCATTTCATCAGGCATGGGTGTGACAGCCTTCGAGAGGTTAACACCCTGACACAGTTGTGTTCCACATTCATAGGAGCTTAAGATCTTTGGAGCTGCTCAGAGACATCTATTTGTGACCGACTTAGCTATCCTTAAATGTATTAGCTGCTTTGCAAATCAGAATGTTATTTAAAAGCCAGCCAGTTTACATACTGTTATTACATAATCCTCTGTTAAGCAGTTTTTATGCTACAATCTCTGGAATTTTGTTCCTCTTGACATAGAACCTCTTAATAGTTTAAAATTCCTAAAGCAAACAGTGAAATATTAGTCTCCTTTTGACGTATTATAGGCCTACCTTCATCTGTGACCCACAAACAGAGCTACTTTCTTATTCTTGCAACTCGTATTTTCTTGGTCACATTGAAGAGTGAAATAGAGCACTTAGTAATTTAGCTTTTAAAGGGAACTGCTTAGTCCTGATGCCTGAGTGGCGTGTCCACATGATGCTGAAAACCAAGAAGTGGCTCAACATTAGATGATTTACACGTGCATTCCTGTTTGACCTGAACCCCTTTACCCTGCAGGAAATGAGTATGGCATACAGATAGTGAGATATTTTAGCTCCATGATGAAAGAATGAAGGAGAGACTCAATGGAAAATTGAAAGAAGGAAATGTATTTAGGGTTGTTGTGGTGGTGGGAGTGTAACAGGGAAAGGTTTAGATAGCTAAGATAAATGCAGAGATGATCCTGTAGGCAAAATTGAAAATGCACACAACTTACTCTGGCATTCCTAACTGCTAAATAACCATAACAGGGAATATGAAAATCTGTTTCATTCATTTCTCTGTATTTCCAACTGTTTTCTCACTAGCTCTTTCCCAGTATTTTATGTTTGAATGTATCGTGACTTTAGACTATCATTGGACAGTCGTAAGGTAAGTGCTGGGCAGTATGTTAACATTGATGTGAAAACTTCATCTTAAATTCCGCAGATGCTCAGCATTCTTGTTTTGATGCTCTGTCGCTGTGCATGCATCAGTGTATGCATTCAGTCGGATAGAACTCTCCTAAAAAGAGTCTTTGGTCTGATTTTCCCTTTGGTTTTTCATGGATGGTTGCCAGAGTCAGAGATCACATGGTTAATCTTTGGATGGAATATTCTTTATCAAATGGAGCACTGAAATATATATTATATCGCAAAGATGGCAAATGGGTTTCCTTAGAGTTAGGAGGAAGGGTAATGAGAATATGTTGTGTAAATACATTTGTATCTTGTGGGAATTTGATCAGAGCCAAGAAAATATGGGCCTCTACAGTATTTTTTCTTTTTGCATATATTTTCTGTATCTTGTTTGCATATGCATTTTCCTCTTCTCTGGTTATTTATCTGTATATCCAGATCTACTATATGAAATTGTATAGAGTATGGAGCTGTCTGACAGCAGAGCTTTTTTTGTTTTACTGAATGTTTTGTTGGTACATATGGTCTGACATGGATGAGCAGCCACGGTGAGATTTTGGAGTCTATTAAACTGGCTCATTAAAAAGATCAATCTGTTTCTGTAATAACACTGGGAGCCATCAGTCACTAAAAGAGGGAAAAACTGACACCTGAGGAGAAAACACATTTTGGTAATTTGTTCATGACATGTCATGAACAAAAGAGCGCTCTATATTTTGTTTACAACTTTGGGAGCTTAAATTCTGTGACGATTGCTGAGTTAATGTACTAAACAGTCATCACGTGTTTCAGGGATGGGTTTTGGCAAATTTAACTTTCTTCTTGTCCTTAAATATGATTGTCACTGGTTATGTTTTTTTCTTTTTTTAAACATTATTGTTATTTACAGAGAAATGAGTACTCTAGGGAAGTCTATGAAATCTTTTTTTTTTTCTTCTTCTTCTTGTATGGAACAGTGAAATGTTTTCTACTTTCTTTTAAATATAGCTCTGGAGAGTGTCTCTGAACAAGTGTACTGATTTTGTAGGTCTGTGAGAGAATATTGTAGAACCCAAAGTAGAAAAAGACAATTTTTGTTATAAAATTATGTTATTTCTTTCCCAAAATATTAGGGAAACTAAGTAGAAAATTCTGATTTCTATTCTTTGTTAATATGTAAAAGTCAGTTATTTATAGTAAACATTTATTCTTCTATCATGCTGTGATGGGAGGTGCTGAAGAAGAGAATACAGTCTTTTGTTTTGGAGCCATGTAAACGAAATGAACACTCTCTCAGATAGAGAGGAGAAGCTAAGAGCACTCTTTAAAACTGCTCACCGTGGTAGCTCGTAAAGACACAAGCACTTTTGTGTAGGAGGAAGGAAAAGAACTGTTAGATAATGCTTTCTTTCTTTGAGACTGCAGAATGGATTAAAATTATTAAGATTTAAAGAAAATAATTGTGTTAGGATGATTATCATTGCTGTCTTTCTTTTCTCAGAGCTTTGATATCACAGCTTTTTTATCTAATTTGCCTTTAGTATCGTATTCTCACCTGTTATGCTACTTTTCTGATTTAGGGTTTTTCTTGCTTAAGAAATCAAATCAAATAATCTTTGCTTTTGTATGGGTAACATTGTTGTTTTGTTTCCCATTCTGTTCTCCCTACTATCTCAAATGATTGATGTTAATTATTAATCCCCTTACATGTCATTATTTTAATGTAATTATGCTTTACATTACTCTCAGTTTAACACTTCTAAACTTTCAATACAAAGGCCTTGTAGTTGGATTAATATGTATTTCCTCCTCCCCCAAGAATTAAACATTATTCTCTAAAAAGACTTGCGTGAACTTTAGAGATATGTAATTTGTCACCTGGGAGGGATCTTATAGATACACCAGGCCCCATTCTTTTTTTTTTTTTTCCCTTAGGCATGGTCTGCAGTGTTGCCCAAGCTGGTTTCAAACTCCTGGTCTCATGTGATCCTCCCACAGTGTTGGGATTACAGGCATTAGCCACCACACCCTGCCTTTTTATATTTCATACCAAAAGAAAAAAAAATTACACATACTTTAAATTTATGGATTTGCTCATGGGATGTTATCTGTATTTTTTTTTTTTTTTTTTAAGACAGTGTCTAGTTATGTTGCCCAGGCTGGTCTCAGACTCCTGGGCTCATGTGAACCTGCTGCCTCAGGCTCCTGAGTAGCTAGGACCTAGGTATGCACCACCACACCCAGCTGGTTCCCATCTCTTTATTCTTGCACAAAGTAAGGCCCAAAGAACTTGCCTAATGTTGCAAAGTTTCTTAGTGAGAAACAAGCATATTTGCATACTTGAAATCTTCCAGTTGCATAAAATATGTTTCAATGTGCAGAATTTAAATAAGGAAACTCAACTAAGACTTAAGCTTCTCTTTTTTCACCTTACTTTCCCTCATTTATTTTCTATAGTTGCTCAAGTGGGTAGATGCCATAGTATAACATTCTGAGGTTTTATATATCTTTTTAACGGTAGAAGAGCCACAGCTAGCCTGTGTTCCTGACTAACTGTGTTCCTCAGTTAGAAAATGCTGAAGGTTGGAGGGTCAAAGGCAATCATTTTGAAATCGTATTGGTTGTATTTGTAAGATTTGTTACAACAGTACACACCAACTAAACCGACTAGGTCCATTTTATTGTTTGTTTCTGTAAAATGAAGGAGATTTCACTATTTTTATCTTTCTAAAAGAAAAGATAGATATGCTTTACAAGGAATTGTAGGGTCAACTGTGCAAATAAGAATTAAATTTGTATAACCTGCATTCAGTATTCTATGAAAAAAATGTAGGGATTTTGTGTCAATTCATACATTCTAGTTTGCGTTCCTTCTATTATGTATTCCACAGTTGCAAGGAGTGATTTTTAAAAATATTAGTCACATCAATTGGGAGGTCTTTCAGTGAAATAGCACAAAATTACATTTATTTATTTATTTATTTGAGATGAAGTTTTGCCCTTATTGCCCAGGCTTCGGTGAGGGATCTTGACTCACTGCAACCTCCACCTCCTGGGTTCAAGCGATTCTCCTGTCTCAGCCTCCCAACTAGCTGAGACATCAGGGGCCCACCACCATGCCTGGCTAATTTTTTGTGTTTTTATTAGAGACGGGGTTTCACCATGTTGGCCAGGCTGGTCTTGAA